CATATTGTTAGGAGGGACCAGTCACTGGAGAGGGATATTATGTTTGGTAAGGTGAAGGGTCAGAGAAAAAGAGGAAGATTCCCAGCGAGATGGATTGGCAAAGTGGCAGCATCAATGGGCTCAAGCATAGCAACAATTGTGAGGTTGGCCCAGGACCGGGCAGTGTTTTGTTCTGTTGTGCATAGGGTCGCTATGAGTTGGTACCAACTCCATGGCACCTAATAACCACAGCAGGATTTGTGAGAACATTTATGTTCAAGGGATGGTGGCTGGGACTTCTCCCAGATCTTGCCTGATGCGTCTCCATGCTTTCACCTATACCGGTTATTATAAATGTGTAACTGTAATAATAGGCAGTTCCCGTGAGCTCTGTGAGTCATTCTAGTGAATTATTGAGCTCATTGGGGCAGTGATAGCCGTCAGAGAGAATGGGGTTTGCCTATTTGGCAGGGGTTGAAAGGACAGAGTCCTAAGTTGTAGAACTCAATTCAGGATGGTTAGGGCCCAGAAAGAACGAGTGTCCCATGTGTGGCTGGTGTCAGAATGAAGTGGGATAGTGGGTGGATCTACGTGTTATCTTCACATTTGGGAAACTAGATTGATATCTATTGGCTGCTATTCATTCAGGAAGTCACTCGAGGGACTTCTAGGAGAGTGGGAATGAAGCTGCTGGCATAAATGTCCACTTTATAGTTATTCATTAAACCCTACACTTGTTTTCATGTAAAAAAAAAACACACACAACAACACTTTGTTTGTTGTTGTTAATTGCTGTCGAGTCATTTCGGACCCATAGCGACCCTGTATAGGATTTGTAAGATGAACTTGTACCACCGGCCTTATGGTTGAAACGACTGTGCAGATCAGCGCATTATCCCACAGTGCTACACCAAGACTTTGGAGACCCTCCCAAGTCCCCATCCTTGAGATTAACAGAGGCACTGACTAAGTCCAAGGTTGGCTACATGCATTTATTTGATACACAGATCAAGATAGGGATGAACAAGGCTGACAAAAGAGTGAGAGACTAGGTGGCTCCTCTGTCCATTTGCTAAGGATTAGGTCATGGTTCTGGTTGTGTGCCCCTGAATATCCCTCCTGGGGGCACCCATAATCTTTTCTTTTGGTGGTCTTTCCCAGCGTAAGGCAACAGAGCCAAATAGGAGGAGATGAGATAGAAAAGAGAGGTGGGGAATGAAAGCGAAGATGGACTAAAAGTGCAATGTAAGCAGTTGAGAATTTGCTTCAGTCACCAGAGCAGGGTGGGGCTGGCTGGCTGATGCTTTGGGCCCTGGGTTTGGTGGGGTTCCTAACACTTCTGGGAACTGCTGGCATGGGAGCCCATACC